AGGATGTAAGGAGAACGTGGAAAAAGAAAAGGAGGAGGAGCAGGAGGACGAGGGGGAGGAGGGGGAGGAGGGGGAGGAGGAGGACGAGGAGGGGGAGGATGGGGAGGATGATGATGATGGACGACAATGGGAGGACGATGATGGAGGCCGATGAGGGGGAGGACGACAATGGGAGGACCATGATGAAAAGACGAGGGGGGGAGAGGGAGGACGAGGAAGAAGAGGAGGAGGAGGAGGAGGAGGAGGAGGACGACGAGGTGGAGGAGGAGGATGACGATGACGATGAGGACGAGGAAGAGGAGGAGGAGAAGGAGGAGGAAGAGGAGGAGAAAGAGGAGGAGGAGGAGGTGGAGGAGAGCGCCATCGACAAGGAAGGTGGGGGCCACGAGGTCCGCCGGCTCGACGACGCCCGCGTCGCCCGCGCCCGCCCCCTCACTCTTATCCGCAATTGCGGGGTGCTGTAATATTTATTTGTGTGTCCCAGGGCCCCTTCATGCAGACTCTGTGCATGCCAGCGGTGGTGGGAGGCGCTCCTGCGCTGTTTTCCTCCTCGAGCTGCGCGCGCGGAGCTGCGCCGGCTCGCTCAGGGTGGCAGCTCTGCCGACGGGGGGTCTGGAGTTGCCTGCCGTGCCTGCCTTGGCATCGCTGGGACGTGTGCATTTTTTCTCGGCGAGAACCATCGAGGACCATCCTGGACCATCGAGCAACAAAAAACAAGCACGGTACCGAAAAATGCACGGGGAATGGACGTCCGAGCGACGGCAGGCTGCCCCCCTCTCTCGCTCCGCTCCCTGCCTCCGCGCCGCTGCCCTTGGCCCATCGGTCGCGCCCTTCGCGCGCGTCGTGCAATTGCGGGCTCTGGTGTGGCGGCGTCGCGGGGCAGCTCGGGGCCGGCTGGTCGGGGGTGGGAGTGCAGTGGAGACGAGGGCGTTTCAGAGCCGACTCCGATCTGGACGTCGTGCCAGGCCGGGCCCTCCATGCTCGAGTGTTCGTTGTTCTGGGGCAGCTTCGTGGGGCCTTGGGCCTTCGGTGAGGGAGCTCGTGTTCTTACCTCCTCGTCGCCTCTGCCGCCGCATGCAGGCAGCACGCCGCGTCCGCGACGACCAGGCCCGCAGGAGAGTCCCGCGTCATCTCCGTCCTGGTCCTCCTCCGTCCGCATCCATCTGGGCTCAGGCTGTGTTGGCGCAGGGCGAGGCGGTGCCCTGGCGCGGGGGGGCGGCAGGCCCTTCCCCCGCTCCCCGCCCATCGAACACTCATTCCGATAGCTTGCCCGGAGCGGTTGGGTCAGCAGGTTCGCCTGGGCGCGCTGGGATGGCGTATGGCCGCGCGGGCCGGCGGTTGCGTCTCGCTGCGCGCCCCGCCTCAGGCTGGCTGCCGTGGCCTTCGCCGCGCTTGGGCCGCCACCGTGGGCGGCGCCGGCGCCCTCATCGACCGGCTGGGCAGGCAGCGGAGGTGGCGGCAGGCGCTCGCTCGGCTCGGGGGCATGCCGCGGCTGCGCCTCGCGCCAAGCGCGACGACGTGCGCCGCCGCGGTGGGCGCGTGCATGCGGGGGCACTGCTGGGAGGGCGCTGTCGCCTGCGTGCGGGCGGCCTGTGGGAGGGGCCTGAGGGTGGACGCGGTGATGTGCAGCGCGGCGGCGAGCGCGTGCGAGCGCGCGCACCGATGGGCCTGGTCTCTGGACCTGTTCGCCTGGATGCGGTGGAGAAGAGTGGAGGCGGACGTGGTGGCATGGAACTCAAAGATCAGCGCCCTGGCGAGGGGCAAGAGGTGGGAGGCCGCCCTCGCGGCCCTGGGCGAGATGGGTGGCACCCAGCTGTTGCCAGACACCGTGTCCTTCAACGCGGCCATCAGCGCCTGCGAGAGGGGCCAGCAGCACGGCGCCGCCCTTGAGCTCCTGCGCGCGACGGAGGCCCAGCGGGTGCCGCCAGACACGGTGACCTTCAACGCGTCGCTGAGCGCCTGCGAGAAGGGGGGGCAATGGGATCGTGCGCTGGAGATCTTGGGGCGCATGGGGCAGCTGCGGGTTCGCCGAGACGTGATCACCTGCAACGCCGCGATCAGCTGCGGGGAGAAGGCGCGGCAGTGGCGATGGGGGCTCGCCGTGTTCGGCCAGATGGGCGCGCAGGGCATACCGCGGGACGTCTTCTCCCACAACGCCGCGATCAGCTGCTGCGAGAAGGGCGAGCAGTGGACCGTCGCCCTGGGGCTGCTCGGGTCCTTGGCTCGCGCCCGACTGGAGGCCGACCTGGTGTCCTACAACTCGGCCCTCTCCGCCTGCGAGCGGGCGGGGAGGTGGGCCGTGTGCCTGCAGCTGCTCCGCGAGGCGCGCGGCGTCCGCCTGCGGCCCGACGCGGCGAGCTTCGTCACCGCCGCCCGCGCGTGCGAGGCGGGCCGCTGGTGGTCCACCTCGCTGGCGCTGCTGCGCGAGGCCGCCGCCAACCAGGCGGTGCTCAACGCGGCCATCGCCGCGTGCGGCGCGGTGGGGCGCTGGAGGCTGGCGCTGGCCGTGCTGGAGGAGATGTCGGCGGGGGCCTCCCTGGACGCCGACCTGGTCAGCTACGGCGCGGCGATCAGCGCCGGGGAGAAGGCGCAGCAGTGGGCGGCGGCCCTCTCCCTGCTGCGCACCCTGCGGGCCTCGCGCCGCCTCCCCGACGTGGTGGCCCTGTCCGCGGCGGCCAGCGCGTGCGAGAAGGGCGGCCGCTGGGAGCACGCCGTGGAGCTGCTGCGCCAGGCGCGGGCGCTGGCGCTGCGGCCCAACGCCGTGGCCCTCACGGCGGCCGCGAGCGCGTGCGGCGCCGTGCACCGCTGGCAGGGCGCGGTGCACCTGGCGGGCGCGATGCTGCGCTCGGAGCTCAGCCCCGACCAGGTCGTTTTCCAGGCGGTGAGCGGGGCGTGCTGGGCCGCCGGCCACGCGGCGCGCGCGGCGCGGCTGCTCCGCGGCGCCGGGCGCGCGGCGCCCGCCGACGGCCCCGGCGGCGGCGCCCTCCAGGCGGCTCTGCTGGCCGAGCCGCTGCGGGAGCCCGCCCGGCACCTGCGGGCGCTGGCGCTGGCCACGGCGGAGCGAGGGCTGCGGGAGAGCCTCGCAGAGGTTCACCACCCACCAACCCACCCCAACCCAACCCGAAGGCCCCGATTTGCCATCCATTTCCAGTGGGGGGGGGTCGGGGACCATCGAAAAAACACGTATGGAACCCATACCCCCCCCAACCCGAAATTCGGGTCTTCGGGTTGGGTTGGGGTGGTCTGGTAGGTAGTCAGAGGTCTGCCCCTCGGGCTTCGCGCCGGTCCGGCCGCGCCCGCCGCCTCGTCCACGCAGCGCCGCCAGGCCGGGGAGGGCCTCCCCGCCGCACCTCGTCGACAGCATGCCCGCCGGCTGCGCCCGGCACTGCCTGGACCTGCGGGGCATCCTCTGGGTGCGGGGCGCGCGGCGGGCTCCTCCTTCTCGGATCCGCGCCCCCCTCCACAGCAGATCACGCTCGGTCTCCTCCTCGTCGTCGCTCTCTTCCTCTATTATTTGCCATCCTCATCCTGACTCATGCTCCTACCCCTCGTCATCCTTCCTCCTATTTCTTCTTACTTCTCTCATCCTCCATCTTCTTCCGCTCGTCCTCCTCCTCCTCCTCCTCCTCCTCCTCCTCCTCCTCCTCCTCCTCCTCCTCCCCACCCTCCTCCAGTCGACCGCGGCAGTAGGGATAGGGAGCTTCAGCAATGCGGCCACTGCACCGCTGTCTATCCAGGCCATCCCTACCAGTGTTTCAGGCCTGCTCGCCGGCTCCTGGGGCCTTTGGCCTGCTGTCGCTGTCGCTTTGACCCGAAGGAGGAAGAGGAGGAGGACTAGCTGGAGGAGGAGGAGGAGGAGGAGGAGGAGGAGGAGGAGGAGGAGGAGGAGGGTGGGGAGTAGGGCGAGGAGGAGGAGGACGAGGAGGAGGGCTAGGAGGAGGAGGAGGAGGAGGAGGAGGAGGAGGAGGAGGAGGAGGAGGAGGAGGAGGAGGAGAGGGGGAGGATGAGGAGGTGGGGGGATGAGGAGGGGGGAGGAGGGGAGGAGGGGGGAGGAGGGGGGAGGAGGGGGAGGTGGTGGAGGAGGAGGAGGAGGAGGAGGAGGAGGAGGAGGAGGAGGAGGGGGAGGAGGAGGGAGAGGGAGAGGAGGTGGAGGAGGAGGAGGAGGAGGGGGAGGAGGAGGAAAAGGAGGAGGAGGAGGAGGAGGAGAAGGAGGAGGAGGAGGAGGAGGAGGAGAAGGAGGAGGAGGAGGAGGTTGTATCTGTGTCTACGCCTGGTTGGTCCCCGATGGATGGCTTTCCAGCGCTCTGCCCTTCGACGGCCCTGGAAGCGCTGGGGCTCCGTGCGGGAGCGTCCAGCTGCGCGGTCTCCCGGTTCTCCGCAGCGTTGCGAGTGCAGCCGCGAGGTGTTCTCGGCTTCCTCGCGGGAGGCAGGAGAGGGGAACGGGAAGAGAGGCTGGAGGGAGAAGGGATGGAGTAAAAGGAAGACGGAGGCAGGAGGCATGAGGAGGCATGAGGAGGAGGAGGAGGAGGAGGAGGAGGAGGAGGAGGAGGAGGAGGAGGAGGAGGATCGGGCGGAGTGGGAGGAGGAGGGGGGAGAATGAGAAGGGGGGAAAGGAGGCGGGGGCGGAGGGGGGGGGGGGGGGAAGTAGGAGGAGGAGGAGAAGGAATAGGAGCAGGAGGAGGAGGAGGAGGAGGAGGAGGAGGAAGAGAGAGGGTGGGGGCTTCAGGCTGGAGAGAGGAGCAGCAGCAGCAGGAGCAACCAGGGACGCACGCCTGCCTTCACACTCTCTGTTGGCCGCCGTTGGGGTCCCCCGAAGCAGTTTGACGGGGGAGCTGAACCGATAACTCCGACACGCGTGTTAGACATTTCAACGTTCTTCGGGTTGAGACTTCGATTGCGCGGACGAGGAAGCGGAAGGATCGTGTGAAGCAGAAGTTGACGATTAGTGCAATGCCTCGTGTTCTGCTGTTCTGCCATTTGAACCTTCTGTTCTGCCGCAGGCGGACCCCACGTTGAAGGCATGGTCCGAGCGGCTGCCGGGCCTGGTCGCGAAGGCGCGCGCAGAGTGCGGATTGCCTTTCGCGCGGGTGCGCGTCGTGCCGCAGCACGAGTCCGCGGACCCCCGACCCGATTCGGCCTTCACGCAGTGGGTGGAGCTGGCAGTGCTACCTGCACCTGTGGCCCCTTCTAAACCTGACTCCTCCCACCTGACCCGCTCCACCATTCCTTTCCTTTCTGCCTTGTTCGTTGCGTGTTCTGGCGAGGGTGAGGAGAATTACAGCGGGTGGGACCCGTGATGACGGGGTGATGCATCAATAGTTCTAGCTGCTACACCCGTAATAGCGGCGTGGGCTCGCTGCATTTGTCTTGACGTCCGTTTTCGTTCTAGCTCCAAAACCTGATCTCGGCGTCATCACAACATACTACTACTGTGTATGTGCCCCGCCCCCCCAGGGGCGGCGCCCGCACCGACAAATCTTGTAGTATCTGCGTCGTGGCCGGCGCTTTCTGGCCATACCGCTTGGGAAACGATGTAAGACAAGGTGGGTGTACTAGATGTTCGGGTCGGCCGCGCGCCTCCAAGGAGGACATACACAGTACTGTCAGGTCTATGTGCGTCCCGTAATCCTCCTGCCTCCCTCATCCCTTCTCCCTACTCGCCCCACTCTCCTCCTCCCCGCTCCCCCCGTGGCCCTCGGGGACCGCGGCCCTGGTCGGCGCTGTTGCTCATCGTGAGACTTTACGGGCCGGTGGGCTGATTGCTCGAGGGTTCCCGAGGAGCCTTGGCCCCGACCCTCTGGCCCGCCCCTGGTCCTCCATCGTCCACTCCCCATTCCATCTCGGTTCCCTTCCCCCACCCTTTCTCCTCCCGTCCTTTCCGTCCACCGTCCACGCCTCTCTCTTCCACCTCTCTTCCCTTCCAGTCCACCGTATTCCCCCATCGTCATCCTCATCACCTGCATCTTGTGTTTCCTACCCTGCTCCCCATTCCCCTCCCCCTCCCTTTCCTTTCTGCGGTGCCCTTTCTTGTCTCTTTTCCTCCTCCTCCTCCTCCTCCTCCTCCTCCTCCTTCTCCTCCTCCTTCTCCTTCTCCCCCTCCTCCTCCTCCTCCTCCTCCTCCTCCTCCTCCTCCTCCTCCTGTCCCCCTCTTCATTCGAGGTTCGGGGGGAGTGGAGGAAGAGGAGGGGAGAATTGAGAAGGGGGGAAAGGAGGCGGGGGCGGAGGGGGGGGGGGGGAAGTAGGGGGAGGAGAAGGAATAGGAGGAGGAGGAGGAGGATGAGGAGGAGGGGGAGGAGGAGGAGGAGGAAGGGCGAAGCGAAGGCGAGGAGGAGGAGGAGGAGAGCAGCGAGAACATCGAGGACGGCGAAGAGGAGGAGAGGGAGAGCGGGGCCCGGACCCCCCGTCTAGAGGGCATGAGCGGGGAGGAGGCAGACTCCTCCGCGAGGAGGGAGACGGGGGGGGGCGTCGGAAGCGCTGGTGGGAGCCGCCGCTGCGCTCGGAGGGCGCATGCCGCTCGTGAGTGCAGGGAGCCCAGGTTCCGCCACACGCAGAGGGGCGCAGAGGGGGAAGGCAGAGGGCTTCTCGGGAGCACCCCTCTGCTTCTTGGCAGGCGCGGGCCCCCATCTGTAGACGTGAGGCCGGCGCCTTCTGAGAAGCAGCCTCCTTCCAAGAAGCCCTCCCCCCACCCCTCCACCCCCTTTGTGCGCGCCGCCGGCAGGTGGCGGGGGGGGGCACAGGGATGTGGGATGGGCCACGGGCCCCCCATGGCAACCTCCCTGGTGGCCCAGCATCATGATGCTCCTGCCTACTGTTTAGCCTTGATCGCCAGAGAGAATTCCGAGCACCAGAAAGGTACCCCAAAACTCGAGGGTTTTGAAGTGTCGGGCCCTGGGTGACACTCATTCGACGCTGCTTCGACACTGTTTCGATACTTGTTCGGCACTTTTCCGGGTGCTCGAAATTCTAATTGGCATGTGGTCCTTAAGTACGATGGGAGCAACATAGCCCTGGAGACCTAGCAGTGCATGATCATCGCGGGGGGTGGGCGGTTCCCGCCCGACTGGGGTGCTCTTACATGCTCTTGCCATGACGACATTCGGTCCGCCATGATCCCAGCACGCATGGAGTCGCATGGAGCAATTGCGGCTCTTTTCTGGCCTGTGGCCAGCCTCGTGGGTCGTGTTGGGGCGATGCTGCGACGTCGTGGGGGCCTCGTCGGGCTTGCTTGGCGGCTGCCGCCTCTTTTTCTGTCTCAGGCTGCCTGGGGACATGTGGGAGCGGTACCCTCGTGGGTCGTGTCGAAGGCATATTGAGCGGTCGATCCCCCCCTGTGGAAAAGCGATGCAGCAGTTGTATCCAATTCTTGCCCCCGCCCTCCCCCCCACCCCTGTGGACCCCCGACGTTGATGTTGAGTCAGCCGTTGCCGACGGCGGAAAAATCGGGTCGCGCAGCGTACGCACAAACATTGAACTTGAGGGGGGCGGGGAGACGGACCGCGCGCGAGGGTTGCATAATTGTTCAAGAGAAGCGCAGGATCCCCAGAGGGGGCAAATTCTCGAAGGACGTGGCTCCGAATTCATCACTGGCGTCGACGGGGGGAACGCGCCCTTCTCGGTCGTAGTTCGAAGATCACGGCCTCTCTCAGCGGGTCTCAAGGAGGCCTGGACTGTTGTCCGCACTGGTGGTTCCTTGATCACCGCCAGCGTCAAGAGCTCCCTCATCCCACTCTTCGGTGGTTCAAAGATGGGGTCCTCAAGGATGGGGTCCTAAGGACAAGGTGCCTCGAACAATGTAAGTCCACCCTCGGATCCAATCATACAACCCTCGTCAAAATTAACCTCAGAAATGGGGAACACGCCCCTGCGATGTCGGCGCGTCCTTCAATGTCGATAGACGCCCCTCCAATGTCGGGGCCAGGGCACAGGTGGTCTGACCGGGAACGACTCGGAAGTTCGATGATGACCGACGTTGGAAGGGCGGCGCATACAAGTGCCTCGCAGTCATTAGACAGTTCAGCCACGCAGGACATTTGTGAGGTTATATGTTCTTGAACGGTTTGAGCTTGGGCTTTTTGAATTCGGTGATGTCAATACCTGCTAAACGATCCATGGAAGTTTACACATCGGAGTGCCCTCTCTCACCTGTCCCCGCTCTCTCCCCTCCATAGCATGTCTTCGGCTTAAAGACGGGCGGCACGCCGCATGCCCGCCTCCGGCGGGCCCGCTGCGCTGCCGGCCTTGTGCGTGGCGCTGATAGCTGGTCTGGACTGGCGAGCGAGCCCCCTCCGGCCTGGACCCGTGCCACGGAGTGAGGCCCTGGTGTGGCTCGACGGGGGCGCCGACGCCGGCGTCGAGGCCTTGTTGACGGCTCCGACTCCCACGGGGGAAGAGTGGTGCGCTGATCTCCCTCGCGGTGCTCTCGCCCGGGTGAGCTACGACGACGACGTCAGGGACCTCGAGCGTGTCGTGGTTTGGCCCTCGCGGCGAGGGGAAGCTGTCGAGCGGGTGGGTCTGCACTTCTACTGGGTCCTCTCGCCCGACGGCAACTGGTGGAGGGAGCTGCTCTCAGGGGCCTCACCTACCGACGGCCCTTCGGACGACGAGCGCATCGCCCGGGTGAGCTACGACGACGACGTCAGGGACCTCGAGCGTGTCGTGGTTTGGCCCTCGCGGCGAGGGGAAGCTGTCGAGCGGGTGGGTCTGCACTTCTACTGGGTCCTCTCGCCCGACGGCAACTGGTGGAGGGAGCTGCTCTCAGGGGCCTCACCTACCGACGGCCCTTCGGACGACGAGCGCATCGCCGACGGGGGCGCCTCGCCTGCTGATGGCCGGAAGCTGTGCAGCTTCCGCGAGCGGCCGACCCCTACTCGGCTCGTGGAGCCGGCCGACGGGTGCCGACTGGCGATGGAGGCTCGCGGGCAGGCGGCTGCCGGGGGGCCCGCCCACGTGGAGCTCGCCTCTGGCGTGCTGCTGGAAGGCGGGGAGGTGTCCCCGTGGGCCGCGCCGCCGTGGCCGTCGCACCGACTCCACGGGAGGCAGGGGCACGTCTGGGTTGCTTTTGGTTTTTTTTGTTTTTGTTTTGGTTTTTTTGACCGAGCCAGTTTGTTCGACCTGGACATCGGCACGCTCGCGGACCCGCGAACGAGGAGCTCATTGGCGCTAGGGTATTGGTTTTTCTGTTGGCTTTTTTTTTTGGGATTTTTTTCGTTTTCTGGATTTTTGTTGTTGGATTGTTGGATTTGGTTTTTTGGGTGTTTTTTTGGATTTGTTTTTTTGTGGATTGGTGGATTTGGTCTGGTGGATTTTTTTTTTGTTGTTTGGTGTTTGGTGGATTGGGTTTATTTGGGTTGTTTGCTTTTTTTTGTTTACTCCTCTTTGTTGTGCTTTTGGATTTTGGCAGGGGGGTTACTTCGTTTTTGTTGGATTGTGGATTTTTTTTATGGTTATTTTTTTTTTTTTGGTGGTTTGCCTTTCTGTGTTCTGGTTGGTGTGTGGTTTTTTTTGGTTGTTTGTTTTGGATTGGATGTTGTTTTTCTTTTTTTTGGATTGGGTGCCCCCGGGCTTCGTCGCGGACGGGCGTTTCGTCGGGAGCTGGTGCCGCGGGACGGCGGGGCAGGCCGGGCGTCACGCCGTGTGGCCGAGCTGGGCCGTCTCCTGGAGGTGGCAGTTCCCGTGGCGACGCTCGGCTCCTCTTCCCCGGGCGGTGTCCTGGATGGCGCCGCTGCCAGCGGCGCGGAGGGCGCTCCCGCCCGGGATGGCGCTCCGTCGGCTGATGCTTTGGCTGACGCCGCTCGAGATGGCACTCGCATGTTCTGGATCGAGTGGGACGGCCAAGGGGAGCGGTACAAGGGGTTCAGAGAGGCCGCGAACGAATCGGCGGACTGTGTCGAGGGCCACCAGCGTCAGGAGGACGGCCTGACTCGCCTGCACACCTGCAAGATGATGTACCACACGATGGGCACCCCTCGGAGATGGCTCGAGAAGTTCTTGAGTGACAAGCACGTCGTGCACGCCGACCGGGTCGCCCCTGGGCCCTGGCCGCCGATGGAGGTGTTCGAGGAGGCCGTGTCCTTCGACCAGGCCAACCTGGGGGGGCTCGCTCTCCTTGTGGTGGCCGAGCGCCGGCTCAACGTGACCGTGGACGCCTACAAGTGCGCGGGCACCCCCTCGTTCGCCACCGCCAAGTACTTGGCTCCGCTGGGCGAGTCAGACGAGTCGACGGCGCCGCCGCCGAGGAGCCACGTGGCCTACCACATGAAGGAGGCCTGTGGGGTCGAGCAGTCCGTGATGAAGGCCGAGGCTGCGGATGCTCGTGTGACGTCGGGATCTGCTGCAATCCAGCCGGGCGCTGAGGGTGCCACCACAAGGATCGGCGGTGGGGACAGGGGGGGAGGTCGCTGCGGTCGTGTCCGCGGAGGTCGCACCCCGGGGCCCCCCCCGCCGGTCCAGTCATGACCGAGAAGGCACAGCCGGGGGAGTGGGCCCCCCCCGGGTGGTACCACATTCTGGCCCGCGCCTCACCGCTGCCGCCGTCCGATTTGAGAGAGACTTGTTCCCCGTGCCGATGATGGCTGCGCCGGGCGGCTCCGCCCGTGGGCGCAGGTCTCAGCATAGGACTCGCGCTCGGCAGCACGAGGTGGAATTGGTGAATCGCGCCCTCCGCAGCTTGAACTGGTTGGCCGGCTTCAAGGGCGCGGCCGCTTCACCGAGTCCGGGCGCAACGACCCTGGACAAGCATGCAGCCCTTCAGCAGCACTTGCTTCGTGAAGCTCATCGGCGACAGGCCGCAGCTCCGCAGGTGATGCCGAGGGCGGAGGCAGCCCTGAGGGAGCTGCTCCGGGGGCAGTCCGTGTACGAGACGGACTTGGCCCCAAGGAACCTCGTCTCCTACCTGCCCGGCAAGGTCTCACTCCCCGACAGCGTGCTGGACTGCCGCTTCATCGAGGATATCGTGAGCCCTGGGTGCCGCTCGTTCTTGGAGGAGAACCACAAGCGTATGAGGTTGGAGCCGGAGTCAGTCAACTTCGACAGCATGCCGCGGCTATACATGGACCCGGTGCTGAAGAGGAACCCCAAATCCTACCGTACCTTTCTGCGGGATCTTGCTGGACGCGGACTTCTTGGTGTAACGGCTAGGCCCGCCGAGTCGGTGGGCCTGTTTTTCGTAGCTAAAACGAACGGGGCACAGCGTATGATAATTGATGCGAGGCGGAGCAACGGCCACTTCAGAGCCCCGCCAGGCGCGCAGCTTCTCAGCAGTGAGGGTTTCGGCCGGATCGAGATTGAGTTGCCGCCTGGTGTTCTGCCCTCGTCGGTTGAGGGGCAGCGGCTCCTGGACGCCTTCGCCGTCTACGTGGCCACCACCGACGTGAAGGACTGCTTCTACCGGACGCGCGTGCGCGAGGACCTTGGCCGCTACTTCTGCCTGCCCGCCGTCCCCAAGTACGTGTTCGACGGCCTGCAGGTGGCCGGCGTCCCGGCGGAGACCCCGCCAGACGCTCCCGTGCGGCCCTACTTGGCCGTGCTGCCCATGGGGTTCACGTGGTCGTTGTACCTGGCCCAGGCGGCGAATGAGGACAGGGCGTGCCGAAGCCCCAGCCTGTGCAAGGCGATGCCGGCTGGCAGGCAGCAGCCCTTGATTCAGGACCAGGCCGAGGCCTTCGTTCTTCGCGCCGCCTCGCGCGGGGTCGGGGGCGCCTACGTGCACGTGGACAACCTAGGCGCCGTGTCGGACGACGCCGATCTCCGTGAGAGGATGGTGTCAGAATGGGGCGATCTTTTCGAGCCGGTCGGGCTGGCGCTCCACAAGTCAGAGTCCCACGGGGGCGCTGGTGAGGCTCTCGGCACCGAGCTTGACGGCGTCCGCCTTCGCTCGGGGATCACCTCGAGCCGGGTTTGGAAGCTCGAGCGAGGCTTAACTGGCCTTCTCGCTCGGGGGCGTTGCAGCGGCCAGGCGCTTGAAAAAGTAATCGGGCATTGCACGTTTTGCGGCCTGGCGGCTCGTGAGTCCCTGTCTATCTTCCACACTGTCTATAAGTTCATTTCGGTTCAGTATCTCGACGCGGGCCCGATGTGGCCCGAAGTGGTCGAGGAGCTCGTAGCTTTTAGAGGGGTCCTTTTACTTCTGGGCCGCGACTGGTGGCTGCCATGGAACCCTTGCGTTTTAGAAACCGACGCCAGCCTAGCGGGCTGGGCGATGGCCCAAAGCTTCTGGGACCCAGCTCAGGTCGCCGGCGTCGGTCGTGTCAGCGAGCGCTCCCGTTTCAGGCGCGTCGGTGCTCACTCCGCTCGGGAATCCGCACTCACCTCCGCCCACCTCTTCCGTGACGAGTCAGGCGAGTGGAGAAGCCAGCTCCTAGGAGACGATCTTCTTTCAGACGACTGGGGGGTCGTTGCGGGTTTTCCCGAAGTCCCCTGGCAGCTCCTCCGGGGCTCGGCCTGGAAAACCGTCCGGAAGGGGGTTTGGGGCCTTAGCGAGGGCATTCTGGTGCTGGAGGCCCGGGTCTTGGTGAAGGCCATCCGTAGGCTCGCCAGGACCAGACACGGGTCTTGCATCAGACAACTTTTCTTGTGTGACAATATGGCCGTGGTCCTAGCTTTTGCCCGCTCGAGGAGTCAGGACTTCAAGCTTCTGGTCCAGATTCGACGCTTCAACGCTTACGCTCTTGCCCTTGGCATCGCCCCATATTTTAGATGGATCCCTTCGGAGTTTAACCAGAGCGATGCCGGGAGCCGCGATCACTCGGAAGTCTCGTCCAAATTGCTAACCGATGTCCTGGATCAGCAGGTTAGGATCTCGTCCCCTTCTTCTCTCTCTGCTCTCCGTAGCCGTATTGGCTCAAACTATGTTCAGGCCTCCCTCGTTTCCGTGCCTGAGGAGTCTGTCCCGACGGATGCGTGCTCGGACGCTGCAGCCGACGTGGGCCCCAGTGCGGCCGATCCCTCCAGGGCCGCTACGTGTTCGGCCGAGACCTGGCGTTCGCCCGCCGCCTTGCCCGAGTGCTCCGCTGGCGGCGAGGGCGAGGGCGAGAATGCTGACGGGGCCCCAGAGAGCGACGGAGGCACGTGGCCCCAGAGCCCGCCTCGACGTGCCGACGGGGGTCCACGGCGCCCGACCGGCCCAGACATGCTTGGAGCGCCGCCCTTGCCAGCCGCCGACGTCGCCTCCTGTGGCGCTCGAGGACCTCGCTCCCGCGGCCTCCGCTGGCGACGACGAGGCGGGCGCCGAGGGAGAGGGCGAGTCGAGCGGGCCCGACAACGTGGTGAACCATGCGACGGCGGCTTCGAGGAGATCTCGCCGCCTCCAGGACTCCCGGCGCCAACGCCAAGCGGCCCTCCACACGGACATGTTCATGCAGGCCGTTGTCGGGGGGCCCGCGTTGCTGGAGCGTCTGGCGGTGACTCGCCGGGCGAGGGAACGCTACGCCAATTATCTCGATCGTTCTTACTCGCATGCCGACCCGACCAACGACAAGCTCATGAGGGGCACGAACGAGGCCGTGGACTGCTGGGCGTGCGACTACTTCAACGCGATGTACCTGTCCGAGGAGCAGAGCGGCCTGGAGGACCAGACGGGAACTGCCCTGGTGGGCCGGCGCCCAGCTTTCGACCAGCGGGGCGGGGGAGCCCCGCCACGGACGTGGCGAGCGCTGGAGGCGTGGAGACAACGGGCGCCTCCGCGGACCCGCCAAGCACTGCCGTTCGCCGTGCAGTCGCCGGGGGTGTGGCTGCTGGCGGACAGGGGCCTCCCGCTCATGGCTCTGTCCTTAGCGGTGGGCCTCTCCGCCTGTTCCAGGTCCTCTTCTCTGGTGGCAGCTCTAAGGTGCGCCCTGGTCCCACCGCCGCGTGCAACAGTGGGCAGCTGGAACCTTCCGACTCACCCGGAGGAGGAGGGAAGACCGAGCAAAACAAATCGCTACAACGAGGAGTGCCTCCTGGACTCGAGTTACTTCCAGGGGGCAGGCCCTCTATTCCCCGAGCCCGAAGTGAGCGGAGACCGGCCAATGCTGTGGCCTTTCGCGTACCTAGAGCTTTCAAAGGCGGTGCAACTGGCGGCGGCCGAGGACGGGGTCGACAGGCTGACACTGTACCACCTCCGCCGCTCAGGCGCGAGCATCGACGCCAGCAGGCTCTCGCGTACCCTAGAGGAGATGCGGATGCGGACCTGGCAGTCGCTCGTGCCAAGCTAAGGCGGACCTCCCGCGGCTGTCGCGAGAAACGCCTCGCCGCACAGCGTTTTGGCCTCAGAGGCCGGTACGTAGCGGACTTTTTTGCCGGGAGCCGGTGCATCTCGCGAGCAGGAGATAAGTTAGGCTTCAGGACACGCAGTTGGGATGTAGCCCACGATCCAGTCTGGCAGAATCTTGTTGACCCAAAGGTCCTTCGGGCAATCCGACGCGACGCCCGTCGGGGCCTAATATTGGCAGCAACTTTGGCCCCTTCTTGCCAAACCTTTTCAATCGCGCGGGATCGGACAGCAAAGATCCGGTCCCCGGACATGCCCTGGGGGTTGCCCAGACAGCTGCTCAGCGCCACAGACCGAGAGAAAGTCAAAGTAGGCAATCAGATTGCCCACGCCGCCATAGGGTTATTTGCTCTTTTCCATCAGCTCAAGATCCCTGCCGTTCTTGAGCACCCGCTCACCTCTCGTCTGTGGCACACCGCAGAGATCCAAGCTCTAGCCCACTTGCCGCATGTCAGTTTAGTTGAATTACACCAGTGCCAATTCAGAGCCCTATGTAAGAAGCCAACCCGCCTGATGTTCTGTCACGTTGCAGTTGACGACCTTAAGAATCTGTGCAGAAAATGCTGTGGTCAGAAAGGACGGTGCTCGCGGACAGGCCTCCCTCACTTCCAGCTCGAAGGAAGCGCCCGCGCCCGTCCAGCGGCCGCCTGCCCGCCTGAGCTCGCACACTGTATAGTTCGAGCGCTCACTGCCGCTTGCGTCGCCACGTTCGGATACAACTCTAGATCCCTCCCTTCCCAACCCTAGTGAACTCCCGTATTCGGGAAGCTTGGGGAGGAGTGAGAGCGTGCAACGACTTTAACCTCTGGCCTGGACGTTTCGAGGCTTTCGTCAGATTCATGTCCCTGCTATGTGAAAAAAAAGAAGTGGCTCTATATGTTCTTGAACGGTTTGAGCTTGGGCTTTTTGAATTCGGTGATGTCAATGCCTGCTAAACGACCCATGGAAGTTTACACATCGGAGTGCCCTCTCTCACCTGTCCCCGCTCTCTCCCCTCCATAGCCTGTCTTCGGCTCCCACCCTCCCACCCTGGGAGGAGTGAGAGCGTGCAACGACTTTAACCTCTGGCCTGGACGTTTCGAGGCTTTCGTCAGATTCATGTCCCTGCAATGTGAAAAAAAGAAGTGGCT